AGATTGAAAAACTTATTTCACAAACTAGGCATAGATAATAAATCTTCATACATCCCAAATTTATCAAGAGTATTTTTTTTATTTTCTTATTTTCATAGCTTAGATTGATCAATTTTTTACAATTTGGACCATAAATAATTGTAAACTATAAAACACAATTTTTATGCTTCTACCTATTTTAAAAGTTAATCCTTACTCTCAAAATTTTAATAAAATTTACCAAATTTAAAACTATAACTTCAAAAACTTTGTTTAGAAGTCACAAAATTGTCCACATAGGCATTGGCGTTTTAGATACTGAATTCAACTTTTGAAAAAGACAAAAGTTTAAAGATTGTGTTTAGAAAAGCTGTTTAAACACAAAATCAAATTGGGGAAAAAAACGAAAAAGAAGAAGAGTTGATTCCAATTTCATCAACCGTCTTTGGCTGGTCCCTTTTTTTTCTTTTTTTTTTAGGATTAGCAAGGTAGGTGAAGCCGTGACGAGAGGGAATCAATTAGACTTCAATCCAATTTCATCTGGAAATATATGCGTTACTAACTTAGTCTTCTATTAGGATAAAAAGAGAGAGTTATTCGGATTGATTGAGCGTTATTCAAGTATCTTCAAAAGGATCTGCTAGTTCATAAATTATGTCAAAAGCTAGTCAGCACTCATATAAAAAGGTATATCTTTTAAACAAATAAAAGTTGAGGTTTGAATATTGTTGTATACTTGAGTTCCCATTTAGGCATCCGTAAAGACCAAGAAATTAAAATTTCTAGAGCAACCCCCCCTATATACATATATTTATAAGGTGGATTGCACTTTTAATATATAATCTATTCTATAAAACATTTTTTTACATTAAAAGTAATTGTTTTTCCTTTTCTCTTTTTTTTGTTAAAACACTTTTTCTGTTGGTCACATTTCTAATGTCACGTTTGATTGACCATAATTACTTTTTAGTCAAGCTAAAATATTATACGAGATTGAAAAACTTATTTCATAAATTAGGAATAGATAATAAATCTTCATACATCCCAAATTTATCAAGTGTATTTTTTTATTTTCTTATTTTTATAGCGTAGATTGATCAATTTTTTATAATTTAGACCCTAAATAATTGTAAACCGTAAAACAAAATTTTTATGCTTCTATCTAGTTTAAAAGTTGATCCTTACTCTCAAAATTTTCGAAAGCTTTGTTTAGAAGTCACAAAATTATCCACATAGGCAATGGCGTTTTAGAAACTGAATTCAGCTTTTGAAAAAGACAAAAGCTTAAAGGTTGTGTTTAGAAAAGTTGTTTAAACACAAAATCTAATTGAGGGAAAAAAAAAAAAAAAGAAGACTTGA